GGAGACTGCTCTTTCCACTGCACACTTTGTCTCTTTGTTTCTGATTCGTGTTATTGCTTTGCATGTAGCAGCCAGCAAATCTTCAAAGGAAGCTTTTCTGTCCCCGTTTTGCTGTTCTGCTGAAATTCGACGCACAAATCAGGCAAACATTCCTCATTTTCAGATTTTCATTTCAAATTAACTTATAGTTTTCTTTGCTTATCCTAAGCCCGTCTGAAAGCTGCTCATTTTTACACTTTCGTCAACTTTTAACAAAGAGAGAAATTTCTCCACATTTTTCTCATTCTTTAAGGGTGCCCTATCTTTGAATCCTCTTCCATTCTTTCACGCCGACATTTAAAGCGGTTGCCCGTTCATACATTTGTGTTCTTGATAATGATGCATCACCCCATACTGTTTGAATTATCTCTAATGTTTACGTAGCAGATAGCGAATTTTTTATAAAATTTAATATTATAAAATTGTTCAATGTCCAAGCAAAGTTTCTTTGTAATAATGTCACCTTAGCAAATGAAAATAAAGTCGGCGTTTTGATATGCAAATAACAAAATAACCAGCTTAAACTGGCTTTAATAAGATATGTTACTCTTTCTAAACGTACATTTATTCTTTCACTTTTTTATTGTTTAGTCTTTTAATGTGTTCGGTTATTTTATGGCCCATATTTTATATATATTTTTTATGCAATAAATCTATTATAAAGAAGTAAAACTCAGGAACGCAAGCAAACACAGCCAAAAAATTACGAAGAGAGCCCAACTTCCTGGCGAGATGTTCAAGATGGGCAAGCCACTTGCAAAATTTAAAAGAATTTAGTGTTTGCATCCCAGACATTAATATTTAGAATGTCCCAGCATGACTCTTAGGACTGCAAAATTTGAACTTGCTATTATGATGGAGAGCAACTGATTTCATTGAAGGAGGAATGCTCAAGCCCAAATGATGTTCAAAGCACATGGGAAGGCTCAGTTTTGGAATTTAAAAGTCATCCTAGAGATATATTCAAAAATAAAAGTCGTTACCGAATCGACATTATCCACTTTCCCCGTTTCTTCTAGTGAGAGCAGGCTTTAATCAATCCAAAAGAATATTTTTGAACGAAGTGATCTAAATATTAAGTTAAGCAATTGTATGCCAAATATATAAGATAGGAAAAATGCATCAGTACATCAACCTTAGCAATCACGCTAATTAAAATCTCTTTTTATTGATCTCTTACATGACGCTGACCGCAACAGATGACTCTAAAGCATCAAGAGTCGGACATCACATTAAAAACTAATAGAAGGGATAATTTAAAAATTTTAAATAATAATAAAAATTACTAAACTTTGTAAAACAGAAAGTATTTGTAGAATTTATTGAGCTTGTAACTAGGCACAGTGTTTACAGATATTTCGGGGCCCTTTTAATGAATGTTTAAAATATAAAGAATACTTTTTTAACTGTTCACTGTGACAGTTCTTTTTCTGGGCTATAAGTCTGCATCCTGATTTGCATGATAGAAGAGCTTTCCATTGTAAGGAATTTCTCCCGCCTTCTTAGCGTGCCTTCGTGGTGTAGTGGTCAGCACACTGAACCGGTATTTCAGAGGTCCGTGGTTCGATTCCCGGCGATGGCGTTGCTAATTTTCCATCTTGCCCGGGCTCCAAAAAAAATACCTAATGTCTCTACACCATAAAATTTCCAAGGCTATTGATTTCCATTTCTCTTCCACGACTTTCCAGAGACCAAAAATTGTTGTGGTTTTGCGCTTATAAAAGAACTCTTTTCAATATACCAAATGAACAACAGTCCATAGGCGTAAAGAACTTTTCATAAAATTTCCAAGGGTACTGATTTCCATTTCTCTTCCACTACTTTCCAGAGACCGAAAATTGTTGTGGGTTTACGCTTACAATGAGCTCTTTTCAATAGACCAAAAGCACAAAAGTTCATTGGCGAAACGTCAAAGGACTTCTCAGTCTGTTGAAAATACATATATGCAATATTTGTATCAGTCTTCAATTTTCAATGAATGCAGTGGTACTTTTTGTTTTATGATCTGTTGCTTTGTCTTCATGACGTTTCACTCTTTAAAAGTTATCGATATTAAAAAAATGGAATTTCTTTTCTGTAAATATCAGACGTAAAACTTTGTCTCGATAGTATGTCAAGCTGATTTTAACATTCCCCCCTCTTATTTTTAATTTCTTATTGTAAGAGACTCCTATGACAATCATGAATACTTTACTAGAACTTTCCTTATTATTGGAGGAATAAGGTTTGTTTACTATTTTGCTTTTGTTTTCGGTAATAAATAGACCTTTTTGGTTGCAAAAAATTAGGTAAACACGAGCTTCATGAAAGAATACAGTGTCTTTTCATTTAACTCCTGCTAAATAGTTTTCATTCACGGCTCTAAAAGTTATTCTGCGTTCAGCAGTATTTCTGGGCAAAAGCTGATGAATATTATATTTTTAGCATTAGAAATTGTAAATCTTGTTCATTACTTTATTCCTTGTTACTACAGATGTATTTAACCAATGTATTTACAACTGATTTCTGCATTGGAGATTTTCTGTTTTACCAAAGACTTAACTTTAGAAACATTTGAAACAGTATTTACCGTTTTCAAGTATTTGTTTGTAGCCTTCTTTCCATGTAGAAGTAATAATCGACAGCTTTTCCGATTAATAATATAATTTATTTTGCACTTGAAAATTTTAATATCATGCATTTTACAACATTTTTTGGTACTTTTCCATTTCACCGGCGCCCACCAGCGGCCGAGCGGTAAAGTCGCTGAATGCTGGTAGTTCGGTCCGAGGTTCGAATCCCGCGAACAGGCTGGCTGCGTGGGCGTTTCCGTGGTTTTCCCCATGTGTAACGTGTATACGAGCCAGCTTCTCTTATAAAGTCCTCCACGAAGGCATTCCTCCCCTTAGGCAGATATCCCTAGTGAGCTTTGCCATAATTAAATAAACCAAACCGTTTCACCGGCGCAAATCTCGCCAAGCAGACTTGATTGGTGACAGCATACAGTATACGCATAAAAAATGTTAAGAAATGTTAGTTTTAAGAATTATTTATTTTGAAGGCATAAACATTTTAATATGGTTTAAAATTTTGTAAAAAAGCCAGTAAATAAAGGAAATGAATTTAAAAAAAGACATTAATTTAAAATTTACTATGCTTTCATGGTTCAACATCCTGATTCGCCGGTTCGTATCACGTGACCCCAAGTGATTTCATGTCACGTAAACTACGCTACAGAAAACTAATCCTCTCAGTAATTATCTACATTAATTTCAAGTTAAATCTTAATTTGGAATACAACTTTAAGTGCAAGTATTATTTCAATTATTACGAATACCTTACTCAGAAATTATGCAAAATCGCATTGCTTTACTTCGCTAGTGCATTATCATTAGAATTGATGAATTTAACCATTGATTTTGTCTTTTCTATATTTTTGCCTTCGAGTCTTAGGGCATATAATTTAACTATCTAGGTTAAAATTCTATGTAATTGTATGCCAATATTGAAAGAAACAATCAATCTGATTAGAAATGGCTGCGACTTGTTTTGAAAATGAAGCGTAAAATGTTACCGTTTGCCATCAGTTGTACCATTATTGGCGACTTTATCGTTTGCGCCGGCAAAACGGAAAAGTACCCATTTTTTAATCATGGAATAAGAATATTTCTCTTCGGAAAGCGCAAAAACATGTCATTCAATCCATAGCTCGTTTATAGGCGATATTTTGGAAGAAGAAAAAATTTAAAAATGGCAGATATATTTCTAATATCAAATCATAAACGTTGCAAGAAAGTTCTGTTTCAAAACATTTACTCTTTTAAAATTCCTTACAGAAGTCCTGCTAAAAAAGTGTAAACATCCTTTGGATTTATGTGCGATTAGTTATACTATGATTATGTTGTATGCTTAAAGCGAAAAATTTGATGAGGTCGGTGAAGTAAATCATTCTTTAAAAAGGGATCGATGTAAGAAAAAGTTTGAGAATCTCTGACCTAGACAAGTTTCGAAGTGAACTCATAATATGAAACAGCCATAATTTAAATTTAGTTAAAATGATGTTAGCCTTTGAAACATCATTTAGCACGTTCTTTTGGCATCAAAGATGCATTTTCAGTTCCATTCTGTAAAAGCAATATATACTAAAGTTTACCTAATTAATTTTAATATTCAAATTTAGTATCGTATGTGCCTCGTCTTTATATCATTGATCTTTTACATGACGCATCAGATAAGTTGAAAACATGAAAGTTTGGACATCAGTGTAATAAATTCTTAAAAGCTATTAGAAATGATAGTTTAGGTATTTTAAATTTTAATAAAATTACTAAAATTTGAGAAACAGGCAGCAGTAGAATTTGAATGTGCGTTTTATAAAAAAATATTTTCTCTATTATAAGAAGATTCTTTATTAAAAGAATAATGAGCATACATTGGAAATCAGAATGACACTTAGTTTTCAAGAAAATAAAAATAATATGGTTTCTGTGACAAATATTCAAGAAAATAAAGTTAAAAGGTATAGTACTGCATGATAATTATAATTTCTAAAAATGCTAGTTTAGTTTTATTGTAATTTTTTAAACTTTTTGAAAATATCTAAGCTGGTATTGAAAATGAAATCAAGTGCTTAGATGCTTTCAAACAAAGTGATCCTGACGAAAATAGTAGGAGTGAGTAGGATCATTTAGCAGTAATTTTGTTTCTTATAATTACTTTTAAATACTAGAACCTTCAAAAATCAACCTCAAACTGAAGATGAAATAAATCTTCCTTATTTGTATTGATCAATTTCGTTCTGTCATGTTCGTTTATGTTTCATAGAATTAGAAATTTAGACTGATTTTATAAACAGATCACTTCTCCTTGATAAATAAAAAAGACATAAATAAAGGTGTTTTCCAAACTAAATGAGTGGTGCATAAAATATCAAAAGCATTCATACATGTTACAGAATATTGCCATATTCTCTGTAATTTTACCTGGGAATTTCATCGGAGTTTTGTTGTTGTGCCATTGATGAAGTCATGAATAGTGAGGCAGCTGCAAGTAGGCAGAACAACCAGCTCCACATTCTTGGAATCTATCAGACAAGCATTTTTCAACAATTAATAATAGCGGAATGGGAAAAGTAACAAGAAAAGGTATGATATTCATATCTATTATAAATTAAAAGTGTAAATCACAATAATATAATATCACAATAAATAATTAGTGAAATATTATTAATTATTTAAGTCACAATAATGCACTATGCAATTTTATTAAACAGTATATATATATGTAATAATAAAATTCCTTAGTCAAGAATATACTTAAAATTCTAACTGTATGTTCTTTTCATTTTTAATGGCGACGTTCTCTTATTTGAAAGTACGTGGAATTAAATCCACAGCCCCGTAGTCAAGTTGTTTTTCCCGCCTTTTCTACACGTACAGTTATAGAATGTTCTGGAAATTTTTAAAGCGAACTGGATAGGCTGACGTCATTTTTTGGAAGCTCCGCCTTTCCAGAGGCTATGAAAGGACTCGTAAAAGAATATCGGGGCATTTTCTTAAATGTCACGATGCAGTAAACTTCATACAAAATGGTATTAGTAGCTCTTTTTTATTTACTCCGGATATCTGATTTTGTAACTGCTATTTCTCCTGACCAATAATAAATGGATCCTGTTTTTTAAACTTATCGTCTGATAATTTAAGCTACGACTAAATTTATGATTCTTCAACAATCTATTTCCTGACAAAAGCTGGTACATCACATATATATGTGAGCATAATTCTTTTAAATTGCAGCAAAAATGTAATCTGTTATATTCAACATTGTCATTATGAAGAGTTAAAAGCATAAAGAGCAACTAACTCTTACTAAGAAGGAAAAGCTTGAGACATATACGCAATTTGGTACTTCCTTAGTATTACGTCTCTACTTTATTAAACGCCAAATTGGCGTCAGGATTATCATTTAGTTCATGTTTATTTTTCATTTTGTGGTTTTCATGTTTATGCGACTGCTTTAAATATGACATCAGAAGCATTTTCGCCACATCAACCTATGTAGGTAAGACTCAAGATCTTGGCGAACCTTATTGATTTTTATTTAGCCACTTAGCGAAGCGCCACTGTCTTCTAAAATTATATGTATGAGCAGCAGTAGTTGATCAACAAAATGAAATTTGTGGTTCACAGTAAAGTGTCTCTAACCTACCTTATCCAGTTACATTGTTCAATATGCTCACCAACAATCTGAATAAACCGTTGAACCCTCTTGAACATGTCGACGATTTTTGTCATGGGTGTCGTTTCCTCTTTTTTTTGAACATGAGCGAGAAAAAGGTTCACCATTTTCACTACGTAACTCACCTAATATTCCCAGTATCGTGGACGAACCCTGCCGGCTTCTCTTTTTCTGCGTACAGGTTTTCGTTTATGCAAACAATGTTTTAACGTCACTACTTATTTAGTTGTAGAGAACATGTTTCTCTAATAAAACTGTTCCAATCAGTTAGTTATATTTTCATAAAGCCAGAGTTGCTTCTCCTGATACTAGTTCCTTTGCTAAATGGTAAATAAGCTGCTTCTTTGTTACAAAGAGTATTCTGAAACCTCAGAACCTAGTTGCCTAGTTGCGATGCTTTTTCTTGGCTTGCAACTTTTCACGTTGCACCTCTAAATGCCTTCATTGATACGCAGTTTTATTTAGTGGCCATTTTTAGTCATTCGAATGCGAACTAAAATGTTTCTCGAAAAAAAAAAGATAAAGCACCTTCCTTTTTTTCGGGTAAATCAAGTGTTGCAACAAATTAGAAATTCAAAATTCGGCCACACAGATGCACATGTGAGGAAGACGTTTTTCAAAATTTGATGGCTCTAAGTATCGCTGTTCTTCCGCAGTGGAGAAACATGCATACATTCATGCAGATTTTTCATTATTTAATTTATTTAAATATAATACAGGGAGATAATAGATTTCGTGGGATCAATTTAAAAACTGATACGTCGTTTATATTGATTCAATGCAAAATACAATTCCGAGATTAATACGCTATTCGAGACTAACTTCCCTTTTGCGTTAAAAACACTTTTTTTTTAAAGGAAAATACATTAACAGTGGAAACTCTTCTTGTAACGAGAGAACTATGAGTCATCGTCAATTGTTTGCATTTATATGAAAAACGAAACTACGGTAACATGCGGTTTATTCGAAATTCTTCTCGCCTCGAGCAAACAGTAAGTAAACGTGGCTGCTACTGCAGGTTATTTGTTTCTGATTTGAGTTAGTGATTTTTCGATAAACTTGTACCATTTACCAAATGGAGGCCGTAACAATAGACAATCATTACAATATCCACGGTTCCGTTGATGAAGAATGGATGAATCCGGGAGTCTGGTTAAACGTATTCTCTTATAAACTCTAATCGAAATTAATTTACTACAATGCAATCATTATGAAAATTGCTTCGAGAGATGGGTAAGAAAGCAGACTGTGTTGAAAATCAAAAGAAAAAATCTGATGTATACACCACATGACTTCCTTGTACGGAATATTAAATTATACGCATTTTTTCTTGCATTTCAATTAAACGTATTAGATTGAATTAAACCTACTTCGCCGACAGAGCATAAACCACAATAGAATAAATGCATTCTTTAAAATTCTCTTTGTTTACCATAGCGACACTCTGGCGTTAGGTTTACTTAACAGTATTATGTTTCGTTCATATTATAACTCAGAATGCACAAAATTTATATCATTTAAAGAATGATCTAATCGTTGCCACATGTTCTATTCAAATACTATAATAAAGCTAGAATGATGTATAAAAGAAATTAAGCAAATAAAACAAAAAAGGAACAGTTTTTCACAGACGATTGAGTATTTCTCATTCAATTAATTCAGTTTTCACTTCGCAACAAGGCAAAAATACATAAAAACTCAAAATATCTGTATTAAAAATTATGAATTAAATCTTAAACACTTATTTTCTCGAAAAAATTCCAGAAAGGATTAAGCATGATTTAAATAATAAATGAAGGAGTTATCTTTGTTGTTGCGAATCTACGTTTCTCTAGATTGGCAACAAATCCGCTACTCAGCTGTTTCAATGTAAACAAGAGCAATGGCCGCCATTAAATTAGGTTTAGCGGCACTTAAACAATTTTAAATTTGTTGATAATTCTAAAAATATTGCATACAGATTTACTAAAGGCATAAAACCCTTAACAGGAAGATAAAAACAACGTAATTCAATCATTTTTAAAGCAAAAAATGTACAATTTACAAACATATAAGAGTAAAGAAACTGAGATCACTGAGCCGGGTAACAGAGTGGATATATTTATAAATATATTTATATACTTTTGGCGCGGCCGATTGAAACCAAAATACGAGGTGCACATCTACATGTTATAGTAGTCTTATATACAAAATTTCAACTTTCTGAGGCTACTCGTTTTTGAGTTATGCGAGATACGTACGTACGCACGTACGTACATACGTTCGTACAGACGCCACGAAAAATTCTCTTCAGAATTAATTTTAAAGCAGTTTTATAATTTTTTGGAGGAAACGAGTCTTGTATTCTGTCCATACGTACAGATATCACGCAAAAACATCGTTAAATTGCATTCGAAAGAGGTCAAAGTGGATATTTTCGTTGAAATATGCTGTCTGAAGCTTTTCGCGATTACAATACTTCCTTTTTACTTCGTACAAGGAAGTAAAAAGTATGAAATGAAACAGAAGCCAATGAAATTTCGAAAATCGTGGATTATACTTTGATGGCTCTTGAAAGAACTCATATTTTTCAACAGTTCTCTTGTAATTACACATTTATTTAGTTCATTCAGTCTCCAGTTCGGAAAAGTAAAAGAATTTCATTAGTATAGCATACATTTTTATAATAAAATATTCTACAATATATTAGCTCACTTAAAAAGCGATTGTAAAAGAATTATGAAAAGCAACATCGTCTGCGAAATGTTTGTATTTGATTACGTTCTCCGTGTTTCTGAAATTCATAAATATTTAAAAGCCGGAAAATACGATTGTGTTGCTTTACAGTTTTTTGCGAATAGCTGATAAAATTATTAATTTCGAAGAATAATATTTGAATACTATTAAAAGCACAAACTGTAAAATTTAAATTAAATTATAAGTAAATTAAATATATCTGTCTATAATTCACCGATAATTTAGATAGGTTCAAAGCGATTGTTTATTGCTTAAAGTTAGACAAGAGCTTAAAGTAATTGTTTATATTGTTGCGTGTGTACGGGTTAGTAATAGATTGAATGCGCACAGGTCCGATGATAGGCTAATAAGACTTATTTTTATTAAAGCAAAATTTCGAAATTCTGGAATTTTCTACCGAAGTTCACTACGGGTGTTCACAGTATCACAGAGTACAATCCGTAGTTACACTTCAAGCTACTAAGAACGTTAAACACAATGGAATGTAAAGAGCACCCAAAGAGAAAGCTAACCCGGAAATACATATATCAGCATTCCGACCTCACGCTGAACTAAGAACTCGCAATAACAACAAAAAGTACTGACAGGAGATACTCTCTCTGGCCTTGTATAAATTTCAACTGGCTACTGAGTTATATCTATTAAAAATGGTTTCTTACAATCTAGTGCAAAATAGTTGCTTGCTAATGGTGGCTTGAAAATGGTTACTTAAATTGCTTTATATTTTCTTTATTGCCAATAAAGTTAACGATGAAATTTCAAGCCCGCAGCATGATCCAATCCAATTTAATATTTCAAAGGAATATGGCATTTCACGTTTTTGTTGTGTGCATTCAAAGTAAAAGAAAGCTTTAGAGAACTCTGAACCATAAGAATCATGAAAATAGTAGTTGCAAAAATCAGATTTAAGTAGGCTAGATGAACCAGCTTTTTTTAAATCTGCTACTGAACGTGATATTCTTTTATCAGGTATTGTTATCATAAAAAAAAGTTAAAACATTGTCTTCGAAACTTGGGACTAAACGAATTTCCATCAAGCTACGGTTGGTTAAGTCGTTTCAAACAGTCGTATAATATTGGTTTTTCGCTCGATACGAAATGAAAAATCGT